GCCTCTCGTCCAGTGCTTCGCAGGCGTGGCGTTCTCTCAACACCAGAGGGGGGCGCAAGGGGTGGTCTCTCACCGCGGCCGCAATGCGCGCCGTTCGTCCAGGCACAGCAGGCGTGGCACTTTCTCGACACTAGAACGGGGTGCGCAGGGGGTGGCTTCTCGCCGCGGCCGCTATGCGCGCCGCTCGTCCAGTGCTTAGCAGGTGTGGCACTCTTTTGACACCAGAGGGGGTGCGCAGGGGATGGTCTCCCACCGCGGCCGCTATGCGCGCCTCTCGCCCAGTGCTTAGCACGCGTGGCACTCTCTCGACACCAGAGGGGGTGCGCAGGGAATCGTCTCTCACCGCGGCCGCGATGCGCGCCTCTCGTCCAGTGCTTCGCAGGCGTGGCGTTCTCTCAACACCAGAGGGGGGCGCAGAGGGTGGTCTCTCACCGCGGCCGCTATGCGCGCCTCTCGTCCAGGGCACAGCAGGCGTGACACTTTCTCGACACCAGAGGGGGTGCGCAGAGGGTGGTCTCTCACCGCGGCCGCTATGCGCGCCTCTCGTCCAGGGCATAGCAGGCGTGGCACTTCCTCGACTCCATAAAAGGGGTGCGCAGAGGGTGGTCCTTGAGCGCGGCCATTATCCAAGCCTCGAGGAGCACACACACACTTGCATAAGCATAACGTTTGTGAGCTCTGCGTGGATCTCTGGGATCTTCGCCTGGCCCCTCCCCGAGGGGCGGCGCCTCCCCCCCCTCTTCCTCCCCTCCCCCCTCCCTTCCTCCACCTCTTCCTCCTCTCTCCCCTCCCTCTCCCACCCGTCCCACTCCCTCCCTCCCCCCTCCCTCCCTCCCTCCCTCGTTCTTGGCCCCGCCGTCGGCGTCGTCGCCGCCGTCGTCACCGTTTCCGTCACGGCCGCCGTCGTCAGTGTCGGCGTTGGCGTCGGCGTCGCCGCCAGTGCCGTCGTGGTCGTCGTCGCGGCTGCCGCCACCGCCGCCGTAGTCGTCGTTGTCGTCGTCGTCGTCGCCGTCGTCGTCGTCGCCGTCGTCGTCGTCGCCGCCGTCGTCGTTGCGGCCAGCGCCGTCGCGGCCAGCGCCACCATTGTCGTCGCCGCCGCAGTCGTCGGCCTCGTCGTCGTCGTCGTCGTCGTCGTCGTCGTCGTTACCGCCGCCGTCGGCGTCGCCGCCTCTCCCCGGGAGGCCCCCGATGTCGCGCGGGGCCCGCGGCCGCTCAGGACCCCCCCTCCACCGCCATCGCGCGGCGGGCGCCAGCTCGGCGCGAGCGCGACGCCCGAGCGACCAGGAGGAGGAGGAGGAGGAGGAGGAGGAGGAGGAGGAGGAGGAGGAGGAGGCGGAGGCGGAGGCGGAGGAGGAGGAGGAGGTGGTTGATGATGATGATGATGATGATGATGATGATGATGATGATGATGATGATGATGATGATGATGATGATGATGATGATGATGATGATGATGATGGGAGGAGGGAGTAGGAGGAGGCACGAGGTCGAGAGGAGGTAGAGCGAGGATGAGGCATGAAGGTGAGGAGTAGGAGGAGGAGGAGGGGAGAGGAGGAGGGGATGATGCTGGAGCTGAAGCTGATGCTGATGTTTGTGATGATGATTGATGATGATGATGCTGATGATGATGATGATGATGATGATGATGATGATGATGATGATGATGATGACGATGATGATGATGATGATGATGATGATGATGATGATGATGATGATGATGATGGTGGTGGTGGTGATGATGATGATGATGATGATGAAGAAGAATAAGAAGAATAAGAATAATACGAAAAAGAAAACGAATAAGACGAATAATACGAATAATAATAAGAAGACTAGTAAGAATAACAATAATAATAATAAGAAGAATAATAATCATAAGAATACTAAGAAGAATAAGAATAATAAGAAGAAGCAGAAGACGAATAAGAAAATAATTATAATAATAATACGACGAATAATAGTAAAAATAAAAATAAGAAGAATAATAAGAATAATCATAATAATAATAAGAATAATAATAATAAGAAGAAGAAGAAGAAGAAGAATAATAATAAAAAGAATAATAAGACGAATACGAATAACAACAATAATAATAAGAAGAATAAGAATAATAAGAATAATAAAAAGAATACTAATAATACTAATAATAATGAGAAGAAGAATAAGAAGAAGAATAAGACGACGCAGAAGAAGAAGAAGAAGAAGAATAATAAGAATAAGAAGAAGAAGAATAAGAAGAAGAAGAAGAAGAATAATAATAATCAGAATAATAATAAGAAGAAGAAGAAGAGGAGGAGGAGGAGGAGGAGGAGGAGGAGGGGAAGGAGGAGGAGGAGGAGGAGGAGGAGGAGGAGGAGGAGGAGGAGGAGGCGGAGGCGGAGGCGGAGGCGGAGGAGGACGGGGGAGCTGCGGCGGGAGGGAGAGGGGGGGGGAAGGGAGGGGGGGGGCAGGTGAAAGAACGGCTATGGGAGGTGGTGGTGGCGGCGGCGGACGGTGGCATGACAGTCAGCGTGCGCTCACAAGGCGAGGGGGCGCGAGTGGAAGCGAGGGAGGTGAAGGGAAGCAGAGAGACGAGGGGAGACGAGGGGGAGACGAGGGGAAACGAGAGGAGACGAGGGGAGATGAGAGGAGATGACGGGAGACGACGGGAGACGAGGCGAGACGAGGGGAGATGAGGGGAGAGGAGACGAGGGGAGACGAGGGGAGACGAGGGGAGACGCGGGGAGACGAGGGTAACGATGGGAGGGGACATTAGGGTGGGGATGAGGAGATGAGGGGATGGGGTGGCCGATGTGAGGAGGAGGAGGAGGAGGAGGAGGAGGAGGAGGAGGAGGAGGAGGAGGAGGAGGAGGAGAGATCTGAGGGATCTGATGACGCGGGCGGTTATCTTTCCGCCCCCGGCCGCGCTCTGTAACCGAGGGAGGTTGAGCCGCCTGCGATGCCAGGAACACGCCAACCAAGAGGCCCCAACGGGCAGTGCCGAGCCCCGAAGGGCCCAGCAGGAGCGCCCCCAACGGGCGAGAACCCAGGGCCCCCACGAGGGCGCGAAGTGATTTGCGCTTCGCGGTCCTCGTTCCTTCTCCCCCTCCTCCTCGTCCTCCTTTTCTCCCTTTGGGGGGGCGGCGCGAGAGCGCGAAGCTCTTCGCGCGTCGCCGAGCGCGAAGCGCGAAGCTGGGAGCCCGAGGAAAACAGAGACCCCTGGGGACCCGAAAAAGACGAGGAAGCCCCACCTGGCCCACGAGGGCCGCGAGGGTCCACGCCGGCGGTCCCACCCCGCGCGCGCGGGCGCGAGGACCTCGGCCACCGTGCCTCCTCTTCTCCAGGAGAGGCGGGGGCAGCCGAGGAGGGCCTTCGACATCCCTTTGGCCCCGTCCATGTCGGGGCCAAACTCGCCAACGTTGCCGAACTTCTGTGGCGGTACCTTTCGCGGGCGATCCTGATGAGCATTTCGTTGTCGATGTGCGCCTCCGTATGAGCGAAAGCCTTCTTGCCGTTCTTCTTGTCTTTCCGAGTCATCCTGTGGTTTTGGGTCCTCGTTTTGAAGAGACAGCGCCCCGCGTCTCCTCCTCTCTTCTCCTCTCCTCTCCTCTCCTCTCCTCTCCTCTCCTCTCCTCGCCTCGCCTCTCCTCTCTCTCTCCCTCTCCTCTCCTCTCCTCTCCTCTCCTCTCCTCTCCCTCTCCTCTCCTCCTCTCCTCTCCTCTCCTCTCCTCTCCTCTCCTCTCCTCTCCTCTCCTCTCCTCTCCTCTCCTCTCCTCTCCTCCTCCCCCTCCTCCCCCTCCTCCCTCCTCCCATCCGCCTCGTCACCTCCCTGCGTTTCACCCACCCAGGACAGCGCTTCGTGGCCCCACAGGGAGCTCCACCGAAGGCCCCAGCGGCAGGGTTTGCATACGTCCCCCCGCCCATTTCGGCGCACCCCTCACGAGGGTCGTGGCCCCATAGGGAGCTCCACCGAAGGCCCCAGCGGCAGGGTTTGCATGCGTCCCCCCGCCCAGTTCGGCACACCCTTCACAAGGATCGTGGCCCCGCAGGGAGCTCCACCGAAGGCCCCAGCGGCAGGGTTTGCATGCGTCCCCCCGCCCATTTCGGCACACCCTTCCCGAGGATCGCGGCCCCATAGGTATCTCCAGCGAAGGCCCCAGCGACAGGGTTTGCATGCGTCCCCCCGCTGGTTTCGGCACACCCCTCACGAGGATCGTGGCCCCATAAGGAGCTCCACTGAAGGCCCCAGCGGCAGGGTTTGCATGCGTCCTCCCGACCATGTCGGCGCACCCTCACGACGATCGTGGCCCCATAGGGAGCTCCACCGAAGGCCCCAGCGGCAGGGTTTGCATGCGTCCCCCCCAGTTCGGCACACCCTTCACAAGGATCGTGGCCCCGCAGGGAGCTCCACCGAAAGCCTCAGCGGCAGGGTTTGCATGCGTCCCCCCGCCCATTTCGGCACACCCTTCCCGAGGATCGCGGCCCCATAGGTATCTCCAGCGAAGGCCCCAGCGACAGGGTTTGCATGCGTCCCCCCGCTGGTTTCGGCACACCCCTCACGAGGATCGTGGCCCCATAGGTTGCTCCACCGAAGGCCGCAGCGGCAGGGTTTTCATGCTTCCCCCCGCTGGTTTCGGCACACCTCTCACGAGGATCGCGGCCCCACAGGGAGCTCCACCGACGGCCCCAGCGGCAGGGTTTGCATGCGTCCCCCCTCTCATTTCGGCCCCTCACGAGGATCGTGGCCCCATAGGGAGCTCCACCGAAGGCTCCAGCGACAGGGTTTGCATGCGTCTCCCCGCCCATTTCGGCACACCCCTCACGAGGATCGCGGCCCCATAGGGGCTTCCACCAAGAGCGGTGCCCACAACGCTGTACTCACAGCTGCATATGGTTGGGTCCTTCGCCAGGATAATTCTTACCCTTTTTGGCGGCCCCGCTGGAGCCACTGTCGGAGATGTCTTTGCCCCACGGCTCAGGTAGATGCTCTTCCTCCTCAACAGGATCCGCCTCGACGACGTTCACCAAAGAAGGAAGAGAACCATCTTCGTCCAGCGACGCCTGCGTGTCCCCGATGTAGAACTGCACGGCTGCACCTCGAGCGGCCCAAGCAGCTCCTGAGGGTGGCTAGACTCCTTCTCCTCGTGACTCTTGGCCTTCTCCAGCTGCGGGAGTGCCTCGCCGGGGGGATGTTGTTTCTGGTCCTTCTTCTCCTTCTTGTGGGCGCTGTCCCCCAGACCCTTCTTGTCCTTCTGGTGGGAGCCGGGCGGGAAGAGCGCACTCCTCTTGACCTTCTCGCCCTTCGACGGCCTGGGCGACCTCGCAGGCCGTGGATGCGGCGAGTGGTCCTTCTCCGCCACCAGGTGGTAGCGGCGCGACTTCACATGCCGAAGGTGCAACCCGGCCTCCTTCTCAATATCGTGAGCCAGCTCCCGGATCCGCTTCCTGCTCAAGCTGCTGCCCTGGACCCAGCCCATGCCCGCCGCCCTAGTCTCCATAGCCATAGCACCCCACAAGGATGCAGAACGACGAGGCAGCACCCAGACCTTGGGCGGACTCGTTCAAGCGCTCGCCGAGGTCCCTCGATAGGATGGCGCTGTGCACGAGGAGCTGGCGGTTCATGAGCCTCGGCGCACGGCTCGGGGCGGCAGCGCGGCCCCGAAGAGCGCCGCCCCAACCCCCGCTGCTGGGGGCAGGGCCGCTTGAGCCAAAATGGTTAACGGAGGAGGAGGAGGAGGAGGAGGAGGAGGAGGAGGAGGAGGAGGAGGAGGAGGAGGAGGAGGAGAAGGCGGAGGAGGAGGAGGAGGAGGAGGAGGAGGACCAGCGCATACCCAAGACGTATCAACGATCTTGCACTAAATCATCCCTCAAAGTTCCCTCTTCATACGTAGGTTTCTAGAATAATGCATTTTCGCTACGGAAGTGACCCATTAGAAGATAAGCGTCTGAGAATCTTCAATCTTGCGAAAACGCCGTTAGTGGGATTTCAACGCCGCGGAGAAACATGATGGTTGCGTCCTGACCCCTATAAATCGTGTCAGAACCAGTCCTGGGACTTCAAAGCCGCGAGTCAATGTGACTGTTACGTTCAGGCAATCCCAAGTCGTACCAAAACACAGTTCCTGGGACTTCGAGCACTCGACTCTTCAAAACTGTTGCACACTTTTGAGACGAATGCGTACGGCGCGAGTGCGAGACTCGCACTTTGAGAAAAGACCGGCCCTCCATCCGTGAAACTGCTGCAAATTTTGGAGACGAGCGTGCGCCGCGCTATCACGAGAGCCACATGTTGAAACGCACCCGCCCTCCATCCATGCAGCTGCTGCAAACTTGAAGGCGAATGCGCGCGGCACTAAGGCGAGAGCCACATTTCGAAAAAGACCCGCCTTCCATATGTGAAGTCGTTATGATTTTTAAGACGAGTGTGCGCGGCGCTAAGGCGGGACCCACATGCTGACAAGGAACCGCCATCCATCCGTGAAACTGTTGCAAATTTCAAGGTTCAAGATCATAAACGGCGAGGATGTCTGAGGCAAAACGCCCGGCCCGCCCTACCGGCGAGGATGTCTGGGGGTGCGACAGGGAAGAGTTGCTTGTAAGGATAAGGGATGGAGGAGGAGGAGGAGGAGGAGGAGGAGGAGGAGGAGGAGGAGGAGGAGGAGAGGAGGTGGAGGGATGGGGGTGGAGTGGAGCAGGGGAGGGGGCGGGGGGGACGGGAGGGGAGGAGAGGGACCGAAGAAGGGGATCGTTGGTTATGTAAGCGATTCTAGCAAAGGGGGCGTGGATCACTGCATTCGTGCGCTCTGGAGGATTTCTCTCCGCCGTCGTGCCTTCCTCTGCCTCCTCGTCCCACCAGCTTGGCCCCTCCTCCTCATCCCCCCCCCCTCCCTGCCTCCCCCTCCCTGCCTCTCCCCTCTCGGCCCTCCCGTCCCTGGCCGCCTCCCCCTCCCCTGCCCCTGCCTCCCCCCCCGTCCCTGCCTGCTTCCCTCCCTGCCCCTCCCCCTCCCTGCCCCTGCCCGCCCTCGCCCCTCCCCCCCCTCGCCTGCCCCTCCCCTGCCCGCGATGGCCTGGAGGTTTCTGGAGACCCCCCGCTGCATCGGGAGGTCCCTGGAGCCCTCTGGAGGCACAGGTAGGGCCAGAGACGCTTCAAGAAGCCAGATCCTCTACTCAAAAACCCACATACAAATAATACATAAATACATGAATAAATAAACACATACTTAACTAACTAACTAAATACATACATACATAAATACACAAATAAATCAATCAATCCATACATAAATAAACACATACATAAATGCATACATACACACATACATAGGTAAGTCCATACATAAATACTTACATACATCATTATATACATAAATAAAGGAATAAGTGAAACAACATATACATGATTAAATACATCAATAAATACATATACATACACATACATAGATACATGTATTGAAAAATGAAACCAGATCCTCTACTCGATCCTCGCTCTCCCTCTGCCCCCCCTCCCTCCCCTCTCCGGGCACCGTCCGATCATCGATCCTCATCCTCTCCCCTCCCTTTTCCCGTGCCCTTCCCTCCGCTCCCCCCAGCGCCTTCCGACCCTCGATCCTCGATCCTCATCCTCTTTCTTTCCCCCCCCCCGCCCCTCCGCTCTCCTGCCTCTCCTCCCCAATCCCCCTTTCCTCTCCCCCTCCCTCTCCTCCCCTGCCCATTCCCAGCCGTCCCGCCCCTCCCTCCTCCTGACCCCTCTGGTCCGCTCGCCACTCTGAAGCTCTGTCGCTGCTGCACATGTGACTGCCACAATTCTTGCGCCAGCTAGATCTTCGTCTCTGCTAGATCTTCGTCTCTGCTAGATCGGCGTGGAGCTGTCACTGTGATCCCCTCTTCGCTGCACTTGGCTCCCAGTGGACCGGATGAACCTGTCTTCATGCCGTTCGTTTTCCAGTTTCCCTTAGTATTCTTCTTACCCAAGAGGCTCACGCCATTCCGCCGACCCCCAAAAGAGGCGGGGAGTCCACTGTTGAGGCGTCCTGGGCTTTTTGGGCACCTTCCGGGGACTCTTTTAGACATCTTGGGATCTGTTTGGGGGTCTGGCGGAGCCTCTTGGAGGCAGTTTTGAAGCTTCATGGGCCCCGTTTTGTGGCCTCTTTTGGGCTTCCTGGGGGCCTCTTGGGAAAAATTGGGGGCCTCTTTTGGGCCGCTCGGGGGCTTCTTGGGGCCTGGGCCTTTGGGGGGCCTCTTGGGGGGGGGGGGGGGAAGATCGAATGTTCGGTTCGTGTTCTCCCTCCTTGCCTCTCTCTCGGGGCCCTCTTGGGGCGATATTTAGTGGTCTTGGGCCTCTCTTCTGGCCGTATTGGAACCCTGTTGCGCCGGGCCCTCGCAGGGGCCTCTTGGGCAGCTTGGGGGCGGTCCACGGGGCCTCTTGGGCCGTCTTGGAGCGTCGGAAGCCCGAGAAGCCGATGACGCCAGAAATACTGAAACACCGAAGGAACACCATTGAATATGTTTGAATATTTTTGGGCTTTTTTCATCTAGTTTTCCGACCAAAATCCGTCGGTGGGGGACAATCCCGACCTAACGAGAACCCCAGACACAATGATGTTTGCCTCTCGGGGCCCTCTTGGGAAGGCTCTTGGGGCGTCTCGAAGGCGTCTTGGGGCGTCTTGGAGCCATCGTAAGCGTCTTGGGCCACTCGTTCCGCGGTTCGGGACCGTCTTGGAACGTATTTGGGGCCACGGGAGGCAGATTTGGAAGCTCCGGGGTCTCCGGTCGTTCGCCGATGAGCCCGGATACCCCCCTCCTCTGATCGGATTTCAGACCCCAGGGGAGGGGAAAAGGGGGGGGGGCAGCCGATCATCTCACACGCCCTCTCACCCCAGGCAAGCGGGGGTCGGCGGATTCCTGTTTCTGTCCTCCTCATGGTCTTCCTCCCTCCCCTCTTCTCTCTCTCTCTCCCCCTCTCGATCCACTCCCCCCTCCTCCTTCCCCCCCCTTCCCTTTCCATAGTATCCTCCTGCTCCTCCTTCTCCATCTCCCTATTCACCTCCTCACCCTCCTCATCCGTCGCCTCCTGCTCCTCCTCCTCCTCCTGCCGCAGCTCCTGCTTCGCCTCCTCGCCCGCTCCCCTCCCCTTCTCCCGCCGACTCCTCCGTCGTGGTCCTCCTGCTCCTCCCTCCCCCTCCTGCAGTCAACCCGCATAGTATCAAGGGCAGAAAAAACGCCCCTACCCTGGTTTACGAGGCGCTGTGCGCTGAAACTCCCGTGGGCTGACATGGTAAACCCTGCGTGATGTGCCGCGTCCTGGCGGCTCCAGGCTTTGGGGGTTCCCAGGAGGTTTACAGACCACGCACTTGTAACCCAGGGCCGGGTCGTTTTTTCATCCCTCAATAGTAAGGATGGGCAACCTTCCCTCGGCCCATCCTTCGCCACGTTCGTCGGCCGCGCCCCGCTCGGAAAGCTCCGAAATGGGCGTCCAAGGCCCTTGCATCCTTATCGCGCATCCGTACTATGCGGGTTGACGGTACTCCCCCCGTCGCCGACGCTGTCCTCCTTCGCATCCCCCTCCTCCTGGCGCGAGTTTGGCCTGCCTTAGCTCCGGCCGCGGTGCGGGCACGCGCACCTGCAGCAGCATGACGAACTACAACGACTGGGACAGGCGCTACGTCTCCTGTGCTCTCTCTCTCTCTCTCTCTCTCTGTTTTGTTCTCTCTCTCTCTCTTTCTCTTTGTCTCTCTCTCTCTCTCTCTGGGATCTTGCATGCATGTGTGTATCTACTATATGTTTACGCATACATATGTATGCATGTATGCATGGATGGATGCATGGAGGGATGGATGGATGGATGGATGTCTGTATGTGTGTATGCATGTATGGCTTATGCGTGTATGAATGTATGCATGCATGCACTTATGTATGTTTGTATGTGTGTATGTATACACTTTTGTATGTGTGTATGTATGTATGTATGTATGTATGTATGTATGTATGTATGTATGTATGCATGCATGCATGCATGCATGCATGCATGCATGCATGCATGCATGCATGTATGTATGTATGTATGTATGTATGTATGACACCGGAGAAAAACCCAAACCGATGTTTGTTGGGGCTATGGGGGCTGTAGGGCTACAAAGCTATAAGGTTATGAGGCTATAGGGCTATAGGGCTATTGGGCTATTGGCCTATAAGGCTATAGGGCTATAAGGCTGTAGAGCTATAGGGCTACAGGGCTATAAGGCTATGGGGCTATAGGGCTACAGGGCTATAGGGCTATTGGGCTATAGGGCTAGAGGGCTAGAGGGCTATGGGGCTATAAAACTATAGGGCTATAGGGCTATTGGGCTATTGGGCTATTGGGCTATATGGCACCCGGGCACCCGGGCACCCGCGCCCGGCCACCGAAATCGGCGACCAACCTCACCAGCCACCCGGGCACCCGGGCACCGCCGGGCACCCAGGCACCCGGGCACCTGGGCCCGGCCACCAAAATCGGCGACCCACC